GATAGTTACAAACCAAGTTGCTCTTAAAACATTTCATTCTTTTTGTAAAATGATATATCTATATACACTGAGAAGAAAAGCCTTCATAACACACGAAGTTTATAAAGTAGTGTATATATAATGTGTTAGTTGCATGAAATCTGCCTATTTATACATATACACACAGGAAGAAACTTTAATAAATGTTTATTAAAAACTCTGTCTAGTTCCCTGAGGTGACATATCACTTCCTATATGTCTTCTGTTGTGCTTTATTTTTCTTTAATTAGAATTTTTGTGGTCAAGAAAAATAAAATACTTTTTAGGAAAAAAATACCAAAGATTAAAGCATATAGAAAAAGAAGGGTCCTAGTTCCTAAAGACTTACATTTTTACCTTAAAAAGTCCAGGTTCCCATTTTTACACAGAGGTTCTAGGGCTTGGCGGGGCACCCAGCAGGCAGGGCTTGTGCACTTTCCCTCAGAAAACTTTGCTCTGAAGCCACGGCTACCAATAGGGTGGGGTGTCAGCTCATGGAGAATCATCCTGACAACTGTACCTCAGGTCACTTTCTTTCAAATGACACATTCTAACTTACAGAACAAGAGAAAGGTATTTGAAACCAGAAAGGGGAAATGGAAGATGTGCTTAGTAAGACTTGTTTACTTTAACCGAGGTATAAGGAGATTAAAGCACAGAAAATGGTGGTCATGACAGATGCATTACAAATCAGGTGATATATTCCAAACTCTGAATCAAGATCACTGATGTTTTGAAGAATGCACATACATGACATCAATCTCCACGGTTGCCTCAGCTTCATTAGAGAGGCAGAATTGAAATTAGAGACCATAGTTATGATTCTGTTTCTGAGACAGAGGGGGCTTGTTGCTATCTATTGCAAGGCTGAATTCTTGGTTCAGCCATTCATATGTGTTTAACAAGTGTAGAGCAGCAGCAGCAGCATGAGGAACAGTAACTGGGCCATAAGGACACAAATGTGAAAAATGAATGTGTCATAAAATTGATGTGATGTGAAGCTAACATTACTTATGATCCCAGCTGCTCCCAGGAATTATAGTATCAGTGCAATGGATTATGTAACATCAGGTGGGGTAGCAACCTACAGAGCAGCAAGACAGAGCTAGCGGAGTTCTTCCCAGATAGAAGAGCTCATGTGCCACAGAACATTGTGAGCACTTCCCATGGAAACTTTGCCAAAAAGAAAGGCTCTCTTTCGGCGTAATCTATAGAGGGTGCTCTGCGAGGACAGGCCTGAGGTTGCCAGCTCCTAGAGAACAGCATGCGGCCGCGTCAAGAGAGGAACAGAAGCGTGGCCTGTGGAGGGAAGAGGAGGAACTCTTCTTGCTGGGGTTGTACCATGATTTATCCCACAGTTCGGCGAGGACAGGTCCCAGGACAAACCCATACTATGTCTCCTAAAATTGGACCTAAGTTTAACAACCCACTTCCTTTTCCTACAACCTGTTGCTAACAACTACAAGCCTAAAAGAACTTCTAGAGATTCCCCAAAGAACACATAGAGATTTACAACCAGAAATTCTCCAAAGACCAAAACAGAGGTAGGACACAGAATGGGACACGAGTGTCTTCATCATCATTATACACAGGCCCTAGATTAAGCCAATTGATATGGTTAATAACCATGAAATTCTGACTTTTCACAAGGCATTGGGCCAGGAACCAGGGGTAACAAAACAAAGGACACGGCTCCAGTCTAATGAAACTGAGGGACAGATGCAAAGACAGGTCATCTACCGAGTGCTATTATAGAGTAGCCCAGATGCAGAGTTCAAGGACAGCTTCCTGGAGGTGACGAGGGACTGAGTCTCAGCATCACAAACACTACGAGGGTGCCAGGGGTAGATGTAAAGTCCAGGCCTAATGCTGTACCTGAGTGGTGTAGCCCAAGGGCAATCAACCTGAGCCCCAGAGCAGAGTTGGGCCCAAGTGCCAGCCTGGAGGCAGCTGGGAGGGGAATGGCACATACAGTGGCAGCAAAGGTAAATATGAGCTGGGCCTTGTCTCCTGCACCCCTGTAGAAGTTAACATTCAGTAGGTAAGTTATTCCTGGCAATTCAAAGTCAAAGCCAACAACTGGAAGTGCTTCTTTGAAAAGAGGGAGACTCAAACCTTTTCTTTTCTTGCCAACTTTAGCCTCGTGTTCTGTTGGCTTAAACAATTGCAGCTACAGGAATATGGAAACTCTTCCTTCTTTTCCATTTAACATCTCTACTCCTTGTTCCTTCATGACCCTTGGAATGGCCCTGCCTGTTCCTGCCATAGGCTCCTGCATATCCCTGAAGGCCTCGGGATCTTGGAAGGCAGCAGGTACAGGGTGGGTCATCTGAGCCTACCCTGGCCTGATGGTTTGCCTCAGTATTTTCTACACACTTGTGGTGGATTAACTAATGGTCAACCTGGAACACCCAGGAAGAACTGATTCAGTGTGCTTTGGGGTGTGGAAGACCCAGCTGAAGATTGCTGCCAACAGCATAAAAGGAGAACTAGAGGGGAAGATGGTAAGTTGTTGCTGCAGAAGCTTGTCATACTGGTTTTCGTGATATGAACTCAGCTGTTATCATCAGAGGAGCTTGGGTTCTCGCTGTTGCTGAGGAAGGCTCCAATTGTTTTACCTTGAGCTTTGCTTCCTGGCTCCAGTGCAAATCCCTCAGCCTGGTTGCACAGATCCTTCACCCTGCTAGCACAGATCTTCTAGCTTCTGCCACTGACTTTGGGCCTTCCCAGTGCAGAAGCTTGATACAGATTTTCACAAGACATTGTTATGAGCTGTAGGTTTCTAGCTGGACTTGTGGAGAAAATAATCATATAAATTATGTGTCCTATATTAAATCTATTCCCTTGCAAACCCTGACTACAACAACACTCTATCATTTTGGAAGAAAAGTGGACAATGTGAGTAAATGGTGGTGATTCATAACTTTTTTCCAACCACATCATTTTACATGCCCTTCAGTGGCTCATTTCATGGAGCTTTGAACAAAAAACATACTTAGTAAACAGATAGATAAAAAAAAACGAATCAGAACATTTGGAGATGAATTATAAGCATTCAAACTTGAAAGACAGCAATCTTCCAGTCTGGCTTTGATTTCTAAGTTTAGTTTCAGAGCTGTTATAAAAAACAGGGTAAATGTTTTCAGTTCACATTGATCTATTTAAACTATCAGGACTTTTTGTGGGAGCCTTGAACAAGGCAGACACTGGTCATCCAAGCTCCGAAGTACCCTCTGGTTATCTATCAAGTGCTACTATGTCCACCTTGTGGACACTGCCAAGCAGTGTGAACATGGAGGTAGGACACAGGTCAAGGCAGTGGTCCCACCTTGGGGAATTAACTGACAAAGGCCTGGCCTGCTGCTGAGCCCCATGACCCTGGCCCATCCACTCCCTGGCAGCAACCATCACCTGCTGTTTTCCTCTGAAAACAGAAGAAACCACATTTACAGCTCCCAGGAACCAGGAAATAGAGGAGAAAATGAATTAATAGAAACCTTTAATCTAAGGATTTACTTCAAAAAAATGTAACTTGTAGTAATGTATTCAATTACATCATAACTATTGAATATACCATTATCATTTAATTCTTTTTTTTTTTAACCACTATCACTTAAAAATGAGTGTCAGTTGCTGAATTTCTCTTTTCAGAGCAATTAGATACAGGACTGTCTGGAGGTGGCCACAGGCTGTAGAAGGGCACAGCTACCTAAGGGTGCAAAGACACTGAATCTTCATGTAACAGCTTTTGTAAGCGAAATGTCCACTTGGCATTAATGTCTTTCCCTTTCCTGTAAGAATTTCACTCTAGCTTAGTCCCACCAGTGTGGGAAGTGCTGTCTGGTCATGGCAAACTGAGGCTTTTTCCACCAAGACCCTCACATAAGCTGTCTTCAGGGACAACAGAAGCAAAGCCAACTGCATACGGCGCATGAGTGAGAGCCAACTGTGTACACCACAGCCACCTGTGTAGGCATAAATCAACTGCATGTATGACAGCCTGAGTGAGAGCCAACTGTGTATACCACAGCTGTGTACAACAGCAGATAAGCCAACTGCACATACTGGCAGGTGAATGAACTGACTGATGCGAAGGCACCTGAGTGAACTAACTGGACACAAGGATCCATAAATGAGAACTGTATACAACAGCATATGAGTGAATCCAATGTGTTTTCTTATTAAACACACTAATGAAAAATACTCATTAACAAAATAATTTATCTTCATAAGAACAGTTAAATTTTATAGTTAAATTATTTATCTAATAATAATATTTCAAAGAATTTCAGCAGGGCTTGAAAGATGAATAAATTCTTCCTTAGTTATCCCATTTTTTGTTAGAAAACCACATTTTCTTGATATTCAAGTTAAGATTCATAGTCTAGACTTCCTCAGTTTATATTTGCTAAAAATCATCCTGGAAAAATTCTTCTTTGAAGATTCTCAATTCTTCTCAAGGAAATTTTCAAATGGTCAACATGAAGAGAAAAACGAACATTTTATTTTTGAGGTGAAAATGTACTGTTACCACCAACACTTCCCCATCAACAGCGAACTGCTTTAAGTATGGGAACACTATTTTCTTTTACTCATAAGATCTCCAGTAACAGATGCAATTATAACAGACCAATGTTTTCTCAAAAGAGAGAGAAAAAATAAGTTAGCTCCTTGATTATAAAGTTTTCAGAAATCTGAGTAATTTATAAAGTCAAGAAGAAAATTCCACCAAACCAAGACAAGTGCTGCTAACATTTTGATGTATTTAATTCCAGACTTCTGATGCATTAACAAATAGGGGTATGATAATAGTTCAACTTTAAGTTCCCCCAGGCTAAGTGTTCTTGTTTTCTGAGTTTTTCAAAACCATTTGTAGCTTACCCATTCCCCTCTCGTAAATTTAGATACTGAGTTTACAGTAGAGGAAAGTAATGATTTACCTGGTGAAGGAGTTCACCTTTTCTCCCACCTAAGCTTCTTACCTTCCACATCATCGGCACTGGAGGCCTTCTCAGAGTCAGCACAGCTGTGGGGCTCTGACGAGCAGGGCACATACCCCTCTGGAGGCAAACTCACAGTGTAGAGGTGGTGTGGCTGGATCTTAATGTCTCTGCCATCTGAAAAGAGAACAGAGAAACAATATGTACTGGTAAATATTTCATAAAGTAAGCAGACATTTATTTGCCCTGATTACATTGGTACCACTTCTCCAATGAAATGCAATACAAAAAAAACTAATAGGTCAATAAAACCTAACCACTGTCATATACACTGATTTTAACAAGCCAAGTATTTTGCCAGAAAAACAGGTCAGCTACACAACCAGCCAGGAAAAAGGAATCAAAAAAATCATCTTATGATTATTTAAATTCACATTAAGTTACTTATAATATAAACATCTGGGTTTTCATAATACTACAAAATACAACTAGTTCATGAATAATTAACAGAAAATATAAATAACCCACACAACACACCGTTTATTAGCACACCATGGATCTTTCAACACTTTGGCACAACGTCTTCTTGAACTGTTTCTCCATGTATGCGAAACAATATGTACCTACAGACACATATTCATGCTCCATACGCACCAACATGTACACACCCACACACACAGAGCCACAGACAAGTACCTAGATACAGACACGTGCATGCTCCAATGCACCAACAGGTACATGCCACCTCCCCACAGAGCCAGACATGCGCATGCTCCACATGTGCTCATAACAATACACAGTATGTGAACACGTACACACAGGTAGACATGTACCCCACAGACAAGTAAGTGCACAACATGGATTCACAATCAGTATACAGAGCCAGAAATGTAAGACAGAGCACAGAGACACATATACATACAGAACCACAGATCTGTGCCCAAAGACACACTCACAGAATCAGATATATACCATGGGCACACATGTACACACTCCATATGCACTACCAGGTAGAGTTCCTACCCCCTACATACACATAGAGCCACAGACATGCACCTCACAGACACATATGTGCATGCACACACAGACACGTGCATACACATACTGACACATACCTCACAGACATGTACTTGCCCACACACAGGTACAGACACATATCTTCATGGGATCATGTCACATGTATTTTATTATACATTAATATAGATTATACATTTTATATGTATATAATTAAAATTGAATATAAAATTACACATTATGATACACAGTGCTTAAATCAGAACACTTTTAATGAATGTATAATATTTTATAATATATACAAATCATAATTTAGGTACAATTTAACCATTCTCTTAGATTTTGCAGGTGGAGGTTGAACTTGTGTAGTCCTTGCTATGAGCAGCTGCTGTACCCTTTCGGCTGCATCTTCCTTTGCACACTTGGCTACTTCTTTCCTTCAGGTAAATTCTCAGAAATGGAACTGCGGGTTGAACTGCTGATATGAATTTTGTGCTGCCTTTTGGAAAAAGCATCTACAAAGGCAACAGAAAGAGGGTGCTTTCATACTCTTCAATGTTGGGTACTACCAACCTTCTTAATCTTCATATTTTCATTTAAAATACGGCAAAGTGACTTTCCTATATGTGGCAAACACATGTAGATATCCCACACTGTCTTTTACAGAACGAGCATTTTATTTCAAAACCAACAATGACAAAGATTGAATAAAATCACTAATATATGTATAGAAATTTTTTCCAGATGTTTAAACATAAAAATACTAAGTATGAAAACCTTGAGAACATGTTCAAATTCTTCTGCCATCCATATACTTCATTCTTTTGTAGCTAAGTTGCCAGAATTCTAGTTCTCACATTTATTCGATTCACCACAGTTGATTAATTACTATGTCATTCCCTGCTAAAATCAAGGGCAAACAGAGACACACTTCTAAGTACACTATCCCTATCAGGTAACATCAATGCTTGATCACTTTTACAGAATATTTTTAGAAGGTTTAATCAGCTAAATTTTCCTTAATAAGAAAGTTAAACAGAAATTAGAAGTGTCATTGTTCACTTAATTATTAGGATAAATGTGGAAGATATCATGCATGAAGTAAAGCAGTGGATGACTCACTCAATGGGAAACAGCAAGATGTCTAAGAAAAATAATCTAAGTGCAATATGCCAGGAAGACAGGGGTCATGCACACACAGACTTTGCAGCTGTGAGCGACAACACTGCCACAGTCAGAGCTGTCCAGGATAGGGAAGCCAATGTTACCCGGACCTCGGTTTGCTCATCTGTAAGTAAAGGTGGCCAGGTAATCTATAATAATGTCTGATATTTATTTTCTATATTCTTTCGGGTAATATGTGCCTTGTTGTGGTGACATTTACCCTCCTTGCTGTGGTAAAGATGGGTTCCTTGCAAGGAACAGATGAGTGACACTTTCTAGAGCTGCCAGCAATTTTGGTTCTCCAGTTCACCATCTTTACCAAGCTGTGGAGCACACAGCATCTAAGAGCACAGCTCTTTGGGACTGCTGCTGTCCCAGAGGGAGAAGTGGAGATACAGACAAGGCAGGTGGCAGTTCACTCTCTGCTGGTAAAAGTCACTAGTACCCACATTCCCAAAACACTACACTGGAAAGATGGTAAGCTGGAAGGCCCCAAGCCTAAGAGAGGGTACTTTTTTGCAGGATACCATTCAGCCTGGTTTAATCCTGTTGTCCCCACCTGCCACCTCTCCTTTCCAGCTGTGTCCAGTAAACCCTGCTCTGCCTAACTCTACACAACACAGCTCTTTTCTTTGCAGGTTCTGTCTACTGCTAAACACCCAGTGCTGGCTGCAATGGCAACTTCACCTTCTCTGGATCACTCTCAGGTTAAGTGCAGGACCAGGCACCTCGCTGTCCTCAGTGCTGCCTGAAAAACCATCCTTGCTCCCCTCTTGCTACAATGGTCTTGCCCTTGTTTCACCATGGAAATAAATCAGAAGAGTTTCATAGGTGTCTACTCAACACAGAAGCTGCAACAATTACCTGCATCAGACTAAACACCTTCCAAGCTGTCTGCTGCCAAGGCCAGTCCATCGCTGCCTCCAGAGACAGTGCTCTAGCAACCCCCACCCAAACAGCCTTCGTGAAATCCCTAGAAGGCTCTCTTGGCGGCACGGGTGTCAAGTCTGCAAAACACTCAAGAAGGGTTACAGTGGTGTCTCTGTTCACGAACTCCATTTTCTCCATGACTCTGGTCATAGGCCAAACTGGATGGGAACCAAATCAAATTTCCCCATAATGTCAATATTGAACCTAACCACTGAATTTGATTTGGTTCTCGTCCAACTCGGTATATGATCGAATCATGGAAAGAATCAAGTTCATGAACCTCAGCACTACCGTATTTTTTTATTATGGTCAACAGCCAATTATACAGCCATAACTTTTGTGCTCCCTGATCTTCCCAGCTGTCCCTGCCTCCTGATGTAGATCCATGTTTGTTGTTTTTGCTGAAACACCTAGATTATTCTCTTGGCAAATGTCTGTGGGCAGTAGAATCTCTTAACTTTGCACATACAAAGATCTTTCTTTATCTTTTAATTATTTTATTCCTGCATTTACTTGATAGTAGTACAACTACACAGCTTAGGGTGGTGATGGCAAACCTTCCAGAGCTTTCAGTGATACAAACAGCCTGCTGTGGCACACATGCCATGGGTTCACCACCACTGGCTTAGGGAGACATAGCAGGGGTGATCAGAATATATAGTGAATATTTAAATTAAAAAATTATTACAGTAAGACACATTGCCCTCAAAACACTCTCCTTACTTTGAATACACTTATTCCATCACTCTAGCTACTTTCTGAAGTGGTTCTGGAAGTCCTCTTTCATCTTTATATAGTGTGATTAAAAAGAACAGTGAATGCTGTTGCCAAGTACCATCCACTGGAAAGGCAGGATCATAAAAATATGACTGCGTGCCCTCACCCAGCTTTCACAGTCTGGCATCATGCAGCTTCTGGCTCTTCCCCACAGTTAAAATGACCATGGAAGATAAACATTTTGAACTGACACAAGACATCAAGCCAGCGCTATAGCACAAATGAAGACACTCAAGTCTCCTTCCCTCCTGTCCTAACCACCTGGTTCAATTCCTGGGAGGCAGCAAATGCCACTCTGCCCCAGGTTCTTGCAGGGCTACTGGTGTATATGCAAACGAGCAGATATACACGTACTCCTCTCTTCTCTGCTTTAGCGAATCAATCCAATGGCAAACTCTCTTGCTGCCTCTGGTCTTTTCACCTGATAGCATCTCGATGCTCAACCCCAAGAGTCATGAAGGGGCCTTGAGTGATGGCTGCATGTGTTTCCAGGGGACAAGTGCCACAGGTCATTAACAAGTATCCCACCAGTGGAAACAACACTTTCCTCCATCACTCTCTGTTCTCTAGGGACAGTGACTGCCTGGTCCTCACCCGACTTGGGTGCAGGCAGCACTTGAGAGAGTTTTATCTCTATTTGTTATAGGACAGGCATACTGAATAACCCTCAGCATAACACTCCTGTAACATGTATATCAGTCCACAGGAAAACTGGCTGGAAGCGGAACTGCGAGGTCCCAGCAGTGTGTGTTTGGAGCTGATGCCCTCAGATTGTCCTATTAGGATGCTATAAGCTCAGGTTTCAGACAGCCAGGCATCACATCTGCTCACTCCTAATGCAGGAGGACAAGTGTTTGATCAATGATAATTGGATAGGTGAAGACAGGATCCCAACATACTTTGTTTTTTGTATTATCATACTATTAACATTATTGGGGATGGTACTGAGGATCAAACCCAAAGGCTTTGCACAAAGCTACATCCATGGCTCTTTTATAATTTTTTATTTTGAGACAGGGTCTAAGTTGCTCAGGCTGGTCTTGAACTTGAGCTCCTCCTGCCTCAGCTTACCAGAGTACTGAGATTACAGGACTGTAGCTCCATGCCCAGCTCCAAGGCACTCTTGATTTGTGTTCTCTTATAATCAGAGGCTGAACATCACTTTTGTTTTTTTCTAATGCAGAGACAGATTTGTTTATTTATTCTGGAAATTGCCTCTGACCCTGCTTTGCCCATTTTTCTCTCAAATTATTTATCATACTCTTAAAACATGCAGTCTTTACACACAAGGG